TTTGGGTAAATTCCCAGAAGTAGAATTACTGGGTCAAATGATATTTCTATATTCAGATCTTTGAGGAAACTCTATACTTCTTTCCACAGTGGTTACACCAATTTACATTCTCATGAACAGTGTAAGTGGGTTCCTATTTCTTTTCATCCTTGCCAGGATTTGTTGTTCCTTGTCTTTTGGATGGTGGCCATTCTAATCAGTGTGAAGTGATATCTCATTGTGGTTTTGATTTGCATTTCCCTGATGATTAGTGATGTGAATCATCTTTTCATATGCCTATTGGCCATCTGTATTTCTTCTTTGAAGAAGTGTCTGTTCAGGTCCTCCACACATTTTTTAATCAGGTTATTTCTTTTTTGGGGTTGAGGCAATGAATTCTTTATGTATTCTGAATGTTGACCCCTTATGAGATGAGTCATTTATGAATATATTCTCCCGTACTATAGGATTCCGTCTGTTCTGCTGATGGTGTCGTTTGCTGTACAGAAGCTTTTTAGTTTGATATAGTCCCACTTGTTCATTTTTTACTTTGTTTTCCTTGCCTGAGGAGATGTGTCTAGGAAAATTCAAGAGATTTTGTCCATGTTTTCTTCTAAGAGTTTTATGGTCTCATGACTTACATTCACATCTTTGATCCATTTCAAGTTTACTTTTGTGTATGGATGTAGACAGTAATCCAGTTTCATACTCTTATATGTAGCTGTTCAGTTTTGCCAACACCAGTTGTTGAAGTGGCTGTCATTTCCCCATTGTATATCCATGGCTTCTATATCATATATTAATTGACCATATTTGTGTGGATTTATATCTGGGCTCTATTCTGTTCCATTGATCTATGGGTCTATTTCTGTGCCAGTACCAAACTGTTTTGAGTACTGTGACTTTGTAGTAGAGCTTGAAGTCAGGTGGTTTTGCTCTTCTTTCTCAAGCTTGCTTTGGCTATTCAGGCTCTTGTGGTTCCATGTGAGTTTTAGAACTATTTGTTCTAGTTATAGAAGAATGCTGTCAGTATTTTGATGGGGATTGCATTGAATCTGTAATTGCTTTGGGAAGGATGGCCATTTAGACAATATTAATTTTTCCTATCCATGAGCACAGGATAGATTTCCATTTATTTGTGTCTTCTTTAATTTCTCTCATGAGTGTCTTGTAGTTTTCAGAATATAGGTTTTTCACCTTCTTAGTTAGGTTTATTCTAAGGTATTTTATTCTTTTTGATGTAATTGTAAATGGAGTTGTTTTCCTGATTTCTCTTTCTGCTAGTTCATTGTTAGTATATAGGAATGCAACAGATTTCTGTGTATTCATTTTGTATCCTGCTACTTTGCTGAATTCAGTTATTAGTTCTGTCAGTTTTTTGGTGGAGTCTTTAGGGTTTTCTATGTATAATATCATGTCATCTATGAATAGTGACAGTGATTGCTCTATTTCAAGCATAATCAAAAAATACTTTTCTTCTTCCTCCTTCACACTTTATGTATTAGATGTCACAATCTGCATTTTTTTTTGTGTTTTTTGACTAATTTTGTGTATAGTTGGTTTTACTACTTTTGTTTTGTTTTAAATGTCATACTTGCTTGGTAAGTAATTGGTCTACTACCTTTACTGTGGGTTTATTTTCACTGGTGAAAACTATTTAGACTTAGGAACATTTCCATCTATGGATGACCCTTTAACATGCAAGTTTAGTGGTTATAAATTCCTTCAGCCTTCACTTATCTGGGAAGTGTTTGATCTCTTCTTTAAATTTGAATGATAATCTTTCTGGGTAGAGAATTCTTGGTTGAAGGACCTTCTGTTTCAAAACATTAACTATTTCATGCCACTCCCTTTTTTCCTGTGAAGTTTCTGTTGAGAAGTCTGCTGATAGCCTGATGGGGTTTCCCTTATAAGTAATCTTTGTTCTTCTCTGCTGCTTTCAATACTCTCTCCTTATTGTTAATATTTGTCATAATAATTATTACATAGCTTGGTGTGTTCTTCCTGGCATTTCTTTCTTAAGGGGCTCTATGAGCTTCCATGACCTGAGTGTCTATTTTCTTCCTCAGATTGGAGAAGGAAATTGGTTCCAACAATTATTCCCTCAAAGAGACTATTTCTTTGTCTCTCTCTTCTCCTTTTAGTACTCCTATTATCTGAATATTGTTTCATTTGGAGTTGTCAAAGAGCTATTTTATCATTCTTTCATTCCTAGATATTCTTCTTTCTCTCTGTTCCTCAGCTTTCTTGTTTTCCTGTGGTCTAATTTCCATCTAATTCATTGTCTTCTCTACTTGCATCAATCTATTATTCATTCCCTCTGTTGTATATTTCGTTTCAGTCACTGTAGTCTTCAGCTCTGAGTGGCTCTCTTTCAGCTCTTGCATGTCTTTGTTGAAGTCCTCCCTGAGATCTTCAATACTTTTCTGCAGATCAGTGAGCATATTTACACCTGTTACTTTAAAATCTTTATCCAGAAGATGGGTGATCTACATTTCACTTAGTCCTCTTTCTGGTGTCTTATCCTGCTTTTTTGTTTGGAACATATTCCTCCTCATTTTGTCAGGGTTTCTGTATTTCTTTCTATGTATTAGATGGATCTGGTCTGCTTCCTGCTGTAGAGAGTGATGGCTTTATGAAGAAGTGTCCTTTGTGCCTAGAAGCTCAAGACTCTTTATTCTCCATTGCATGGTTCTACTTTGCTTTGAAGGCCCAGTTGCTATTGGTGGTCTATGGGCTGGGTGCCTTTCTGTCTGCTGGCAGTGGTCTCAGTCCCACCATATTGCAATGCACCTCAGTCAGCCCTTTGTGAGCAGAGCAGCAGTGCTTCTGCTAGGATCATTGCTGGCTGGGCCCTGCAGTGATGATGGTGCCATTGGGCTAATGAGGTGTGTGTGGTGGACATGGCACTCTGGGGTGGTTTGCTCTGTGAGTGACAGGTCCAGCATGGTGCATGGTCATGTGGCAGCCAGTCTCGCTGAGGCAGGGCTCACCTGCATGAAGTCAAACAGCAGTTCTGGTGCATGGCACCAGGCTGGGCCACTCTGGATAAGGAAGGAGCACTTAGAGCTGCCTCCCACAGGTGCTTCCCATGTTGGGCTGAGAAAGCTGGGAAAGCTTGTATCTGCCTGCCAGACAGCAAAGTCTCTCTCTACCTGCCATGCAGCAAAGGTCTGAGCCTGTTGGGGTAAGAAGGTGGTGTGTAGGAAAGTGCCTCAGGGCTGAACCTGTAGCAAGGGGAATGGAGTATTTGGGGCACCTGTGTCTGACCCATCAGGTTGAGGGAGGGCTGGGGAGGTGTCATCTACTTGCCCTTTCTCCTGTGGAGACAGCTCCATCCAACCCTTGTCCCTCTGGTACCCCTCCCACTGCTGGCAAAGTTTTCAAACTTCTGCCTCTGTTTTGGGTCTCAGTAGGGCCAGTGGAACATGCTGTTCTCCACAAATGGTTGGAGTTTCAGCCTTCCCAGAGTGTTCCAAATGTCCCTGATGTCAAGCTCTGCTAGTCACCAGAACCCAGTGCAATGCAGACTTATGCTCCCAGAGCTGATCTCCAGGGCCAGGTGAGCGGAGTTCCTGAGCGCCTATCCCTTCCCCACTCTGTCCTTCTTCCTCATGCCTGTGAGCTGGGATGGGGGAAGGGGTTGGGTCCCACTCAATTGTGGTTCTGCCATTGTACCTTCTGTGTGGTCTTTTCTTTACTAGGTGCAGGTGGTCTGTTCTGAGTCTTCAGGTCATTTTTAGGGTTAATTTTATTTGCTGTAGTTGCTTTCTTGGTGTGTGGGAGGAGCTTTCTGCTTTGTCTTCCTACCCTGCTACCTTTTTTCTGCCTCCAGTAATTGTTAACGTTTAGTAAAATGGACTGATCGCAATTCTGTCAGAAAAATACCCAAGAAGTAGTACTTATTTCTCATTGTGAAATAATGCCAAAGTTCATCTAAGTATTAATTTTAGACAAGTGTATGAAGAGCCAAAACATGCTGTGGAAAGAGGAAAGTTCTCAGTGTACTTGGTACCTCAGTTGTCTTACTAAGTTTCACTAAAGGCTTTCTCCTAGCCTACTTCACTGTTTCACCCAGGAAGCTGGAAAATGTATAATGTAATCAAAAGAATAAACAATAACATCTATCTCAAAATGAGTTATAAACTGACAGTAATGGACTCTCCACCTTCTTCTGTCATTCTCTGCTATCAGAACAGGGTGGAGGTGAACCTTTAAACCGGCAAGTCACAGATACTCTAGTAGAGTACTAGTAGAGTATGGCTAATGTACGGAGAAGAATCTATGTTATGCAAATATAATGATGTTTGGAAAGCAGGCATTTTTGATATATATATTTAAATCTAGATGTGTATTTACATAAACTAAATGTAGAATATAGTCCATCAGCGATTGTATTTTGATTCTTTGTTTTAGAAGAAGGTAATTGACAGGGAGGAGGGAGAAATTTATTAGAGGAGGGAGAAATTTATTAGAGGAATAATATCTTCTGTGAAATTTTCTTCTATATATAGAATCTATAGTATAACACTCCTTAGATTACTATATGATCCTTATAATCTGCAATAACACTGATGAGATTACTTGTTGACTAAATCAAGAATTTAGGACAGTACCTGATACATTATCGAATAGATAATAGTTTCTGCTTAGAAACAGGATCAAAATCCTTTACTATGAAGTTTCTTAACCTAAATGTGACTCATTCACTGAATTTCACAAGGGTCACTGATTGTGATTTATGTTTTCTGAGTATGACTTTCTGATGTAAGGACCAACATTCCTTACCGCATGTATGTGTTTAACATGATCTTGAAAATATTCTTTAATAGAAACCCAACAAACCTACTCAGTTTTTTCAATTTATAATTCTGATGTATAGTCTCATCTCACTGAGCCTCACTTACATCTGAGAAATTTCCAAATACTAAAAAAAAAAGGACCTTTACACAATCCATTTTCCTTTAATTTGAAGGTTAACTCTTGTTCTGCTCAAGACAAAAAAATGGCAACACCAAAAGTTTAGGTTTGATTCATTTATTATTGTTGCCACTTAGGGGTACATTTTCCCAATTCTGCCTCAAATCCCAGTGATACATTTTATACTTGCATTACATATCCGTCTCTAGTTTCCTTGTGCTGAAATGTTTGGATTGGAATGTGAGGTATCTCAGGAAATAGAGTGGTAATGCATAGGATGAAATGTTTGAGCTGTATTTCTTATATTACATGAAATTCATTGTGAAACGCCACAAGATAAAATCCTTTATTATAGAGAGCTTGAAGTTTCTGTTTTTATGTAGAATAGAAAAGGAAACACGTGAATTAGAGAAAATTTAAGTGTGATTAAAAATAATATATCTTAAGCATTTAGAATACAAATTCTGCAAAGCCTTCAGATGTGCTACAAAATCTTGGAAATTATTGTAAACCTGTTTTTGTTCTTTTTCTCCATTTTCTATAAGATTAGTTCCTAAAATATTTCTCTGTGTATTATGTAAAATTAGCTTTAGCTAAAGAACAAATGGCAGTAAGTGAAGACTGCCAAGGGCCTCAAAAGGTGCTATTGAAGAAAAAAAGATAACTAGGAAAAGCAAAGTCCAAATGCTAAAATTCTGGTTAATATTAGAAGAAATCAATTTAAATCTGGTAAATTAGATTTATTTACTACTTATTATTTAGAGCTAATGTATGGAGAAGAGTCTAAGTTACATTATTCAGAAATAGAGATGTTTTGGAAAATAGGCATTTTTGACTCAGTTACTTGACATCAACTAAATGTAGAATATAGTCCATGTAGGACTTAGTGTCCTTTAGTTTTATATCCAATAACAGCATCAAACCTAACATTGATCTTTTGTTTTAAAATTGTCAGGAAACGCTCAGGAAGGATCCTAAAAGAAAGATACATAAAAATAATTAGGAAATTAATATTAAGTACATTTTAAAAATACATGTTTGTCTTAAACAAGATTAAGAACTTTAACTCTGAGTTGATACTATGTGTCTTTCCAATTAAATCCATTTCCTTTTCAAAAGGAAAAGGAAGGCTTAACCTTCTTTAGGGTATGAGTGACAAAGTATTTAGTTTTTGAAATAAATATACTCATAGTTTTCAAAAGATCTAAGAGAGTAGATGTATAGAACTGAATAGTTGCAAGCTAAAGGCTTTTTAAAAGAGAAACCTGACACTGGAAAGGAAGTGAGAATATGAGCTAATTTTGTACTTTATAACCCATAATATTAATGAAATGTTCCACTAAGAGACCAGGGAAGCAGAATTGCTAAATGAAAATGTAGACAATACCTTGTCTGCATAATGCTGAGCCAGTTATTTAACTTTTGAGTTTAAATTCCTCACATGTAAATGGAAAAATTAAAACCTACCCAACACTGTTCTTGTGAAGAACCAATGTATGAATATCAAATGCCTCAAACAGTCATGGGCACATAGTTG